AACTCCACCAAAAATGCTTGCAGTCATGAGTGTGCCCTCCAAAATGGCCTTCCAGGTTGCTGTGGTAGACACACCATTGTGGATAGAGAATGTCATTGTTGCAGAGAAACTTTTAGCCACTAGAATGCAAGCTCGAGAGACACTGCATTTTCTGTGGTTTTACTTTTTTTCCTGCCCCTGCTATATGGTGAAAACCTAGAACAGAGGTCAGCAAACTATAGAGCCTATAAGCCAAATCCAGCAGGTAGACTTTTTTGTATGGCTCGTGAGCAATGAATAGTTTTTACATCTTCAAATGCTTGAAAAAACAATTTTTTAAAAAACATTATGACACGTGACAATTAAATGAAATTCACATTTCAATGCCCATTCATGAAGTTTCACTGGAACCTAGCCACACTCATTGGTTTACATTTTGTGAACATGTCTGGGAGAGCTCTTACATGCTGCAGCACCAGAATTACATAGTTGTGTTAGAGACTATATGGCTCATAAAGCCTAAAATATTTGCTATCTGGCCCTTCACAGAAAAAGCCTGCTACCCCTTAGCCTAGAAGATAGTACTTCAAATTGGCACTCACATTTTGAATGACTAGAGCCACCACAGGTGAGTGGCCATATGACCTTACTCATCCCTTCTGAGCAACAGGCCATACCCATCACAGACCACTAGTTGAGGATACTACCAGGGAAGTGACAGCATTATTAGGCTGCTAGTCCACTGAAGCTCATGCAGAAAAGTGTCTAAGATAAAACATTCCTTTTGGTCTATAAAACTGAAAGATGAATCTTTAGAGTATTATTTGTATGTCTTGGTTCTTTCTCTTGAAATTGCTGAAGACTACTTTTTTATATGGTTCTTTCAATAGGTTCCTAAACCTCTGATCACTAATTAGCACTCACCATAGAATACAAGCAGTGCATAAAGGAAAATCTTTAAAATCATCTTCAGGGAAATGGCAAATATTTTGCACACTAACTGGTTAACCTCGGGGCACGTGGCTGGCTCCAGTCAATAGAGCATGTGACTCTTGATCTTGGGGTTGTGAGTTTGAGCCCTATGTTGGATGTAGAGATTACTTACATAAAATCTTAAAAAAAAAAACCCAACAAAACCTGGTTAGCCTGGACTGTCTGCACTTTTGGGAACTTTAACTTAGAATTCATGAGAATCCCTACCCAGTTCCAACACAAGATCTCATTTGGAATTTGGGTACTATGAAGTTTGCTTTTCAAACTGATCAAGGACAAATGACTCACAGAAAACTGAGAACAAATTAAAACCATATACAAATGGAAAGATTTCTTCTCACATTGAGAAATTGTAAAGATCTCAGGTAAAAGAAATGAATAATTGCTGGCAGTTTGATATCTCAGTGACTATGGACAAGTGTAATAAAATCTATAAACAGTGAGGTGTATGATTCTAAGTAGAATTTATTACTATTATTTTTTAATGTACATTCTATGTCCACTGTGGGGCTTGAACTCACCACCCCAAGATCAAGTCACATGCTGTACCAACTGAGCCATATGGGTATCCTTTGAGCACATAGAATATAGAGATAGGGCAGCCCGGGTGGCTCGGCGGTTTAGCGCCGCCTTCATCCCAGGGCATGATTCTGGAGACCCGGGATCGAGTCCCACGTTGGGCTCCTTGCATGGCGCCTGCTTCTCCCTCTGCCTGTGTCTCTGCCTCTCTCTCTGCGTCTCTCACGAATAAATAAATAAAATATTAAAAAAAGAATATAGAGATAAATATGGACTACAAAGGTGTTCTATCTTTTGCAAAACTATACAATTTGAGTCAACTTACACCCCCTCTAAACTTTTGCCTATTTTTTCTTTTGTGACAGGTGGAACAGATCATTGTGTTTTTCTGTGTACTTCTCAGCTTCAACTGGTACTCCTATCTTGTACTGTTTTGAATATGCTGAATCTATTTTAGGTAAACCTTTTATTTTAGAAGTTTTTTGTTTTTTGTTTTTTTTTTTTTTAGATTTCCACAAAGCAAGAGTTCTCATATATCCTACACCCAGTTTCCTCTATGAACATCTTACATTAGTACAGAACATTTGTTACAATTAATGAATCAATATTCACACATTAATGCCAACTAAAGCCCATACTGTATTCAAATTTCCTTATTTTTTATGTAATGTCTTTTCTGTTTTGTCATCCCATTCAGGATGTCATAGCACATTTGGTGATGTCTTCTCAGCTCCCCATTGCAGTGACAGTTTCCCTGTTTTGAGGAGTCTGGTTATTTAGTAGGATGTCCCTCAACAGGCAATTTACCCGGTATTTTTCTCATTTTGGCTGGGGTTATGAATTTTTGGGAGGAAAACCACAGAATTAAAGTGCCATTTTCATTACAACATATCAAGAGTATCTATTATCAACATGACGTAACATTTGATGTTGACGCTGATCACCTGGGTAAGGTAGTGTTTGCCAGGTTCTCCATGGTCAGGTTACTCTTTCCATACTGTACTTTTTTTTTTTAAAGATGTATTTATTTTAGAGAGACTGAAGGAGTCGGGCGAGGAGGAGAGGAAGAGGGAGACAGAATCTTCAAGCAGATTCTCTACTGAATGCAAAGCCTGAAAAAGGGCTTGAGCTCACAACCTTGAGATCATGACCTGAACTGAACCTGACTGAGCCACCCAGGCACCCACTATACTTTTAACTATAGAGAACAAACTGATGGTTACCAGAGGGCAGGTGAAGGGGTGTGTGTGAAATAGGTGAAGGGGATGGAGGAGTCCACGTAGCATGATGAACACTGAGTATAGATTGTTGAATCACTATATTGTACACCTGAAACTAATATTGCACTGTGTAACTACCTAGATTTTTTTTGTAAAGATTTTATTTATTCATGAGACAGAGAGAGAGAGAGAGAGGCAGAGACACAGGCAGAGGGAGAAGCAGGCTCCATGTAGGGTGGCTGATGTGGGACTTGATCCCGGGTCTCCAGGATCACGCCCTGAATCAAAGGCAGATGCTCAACCACTAAGCCACGCAGGCATCCCACTACCTAGAATTTAAATAAAAACTTAAAAAAGACCTAAGGTGTCCATATTGATTTGCTTTCAAAGAGTACAGTAGGTCTTTTTTTTCAAGGAGTAAGGCATTATATTCCATCCCCCCCTCCCCTTATATCTACACAATTTGGAGTTCAGCATGGGAAATTTCTCACCTCTCCCTTTGTTTATTCAATCATTTACATCAGTAAGTACCCATGAATACTTATTTTATACTTTGGGTCATAATCTATAATCCTAGTTCACTTTGTTGCTCAAATTGTCCCAGCTTTGACCACTAGTTGCACCAATATCTTTGCTTCTTTGGGTCTTGAGTGTTCCTTTGCCACTTAGAGCTGAGCTCTTACCTGCTCTTCAGGATTCAGGTGTTATTTGACCCAAGAAAATAATTCCTGATAATCACCCCTACTCCCAGCCCTTAGTCTCCCACCACTCAGGTTATGTTGTTCATATATATATATATATATATATATATATATATATTCATATATATGTTGTTCATATATATATGAACATATTCATATATATATTTATGTCTAATATGTTACTTATACACGGTCTACTATCTGTCTTTCCACTGGATAACAAGCTTTTTGAGAATAGGGATCATATTTTATTTCTTTTATATGCCTACTACATAATATACAGTGCCTCATTCACACAAAGCAGGATCTCAACAAATACTTCTAGAACAATCACTGTGGTTTTTCTCTTCAGTCCAAAAATCCAAGAGTGCCTGACATAAACCAGAAGCCACAGAGAGGTTGGTATAACTATCCACTCTGGGAGGAACTACAAGGTGTTTCTATTGTATTTAATGTCAGTCATGTAACACAATAGGCTCAAGATTTAAGTTAACACTTCCTCATGTCTCATCTCTAAGTAAGTAGACTTTTCCTATAAATCCCTGTTGCATTTGAGTAATTCATTAAGGGAAATGGCCAATTAATTACTTTAATATTCAGAACCAAAGCTGGGCAGCTTCTAGTTTTAAGACTGGAAAAGTGGGGTTCCCATAACAGCACACATTTTAGCCATGAGGTTCTCAAGAGCCACACCTGTAACTGAGGACTGCATAACCACTGAAGAAATAAATTTGCTGAATTGTATTCTTTATTGTCACAAATTATTATGAGAAAAGGACTTTAATCAAGGATCTTCCAAGATACAGGAATTAAGACTATGGTAAACTCCATCAAGCTGAAATATGTTTTTAAGTTGGATCATGTTACCACCTTAGTTGAAGCCACCATTAAATCTCAACTGAGCACACTGGTTCCTGTCTATCTATTCACCACAAAGGAAATCAAGGCATTCCACTTAACCCTTCCTATTAACTGCGTCTATAACAAAATTCAAATTCTGAACCATACCCTAGAAGGCTCTGCTATCTACTGGCTTCCTCTACCCACTCAAACTCATCCTGTGCTCATCTCTTGCTTAATGGTCCAGCCACACTCATCTTTCTGAAGCTGTGGCTTAGTGTCACAAATTTTTTGATGTCTAAATTTTTTACAAGAATTTTATAAAGTTCTTCAATCTTGAATGTTTCTTAAGTAAAAGTTGTGTGAGAATATAAGAAATCTCTGCAATCCCACAGTAATAAAGATTAGATTGAAACATGAAGACCCATACTCTTCTTGAGTTAGAAGTTCTTTTGGTGTTAAAACATATATTAATTTAACTATTTTGTTAATTTTCCAAGAAACAATGATATAGTTTGATGCTGACATCTTTCAAACACTAACTCAAACTTAAAAATGGTTTCTCGCTATTTAAAACAAAAGGTTAAAACAAATTTAAGCACTGCCTCTTAAAACTAATAATTTCTTTGAAAATTGAGTCCCTTTGATAACTAATAAAGGTACCTTACTTTATCCTTCCACACATATGGAAATTAACATGACCTTATAATGTTGATAGCTTGAAATAAACAAACAAAAAAAGACCAAATTAAAAATCTTAAGAATCCTTTATTTAAATGCATTCAAAGAGGCATTAATTCTTTGCTTCCCATTTGATGATTTTTCTGGACATATCCACTTAAATTCTTTTAAGTGAAGAATCTACATTTGAATATTCTTTCTTCATCTTTGCAAAAGGTCATTCATCATATTAGAAATAAAGGATGCTTACCACTATTCTGGTTGACAGGTGTAACTTTTGAATGATAGTGACCTTTGCTCTCAAAATTGAGCCCAAAAGTTTACAGGTGTTTAACTCCCCCAAATTAGTAAGATATAACTGTCTTAAAGCTCTGAAACTGAAAACTTCACCTAAGTTTGAGGCTAACTTATTCAGTGGTAAAAACGATCTGAATTGGTACAAGACTATTTTTAACCTTTATTAATCTCATATAATGTTAACATTCATACATTTTGCTACAGAGATATTAATGTATTTGATAATAGAGTATCGCTCCAGACTCTGTTGAACGGTGTTATGTTATATATAGTATGTGTACTCTATTACTTTTCTAAAATTCAAGAAGTTCTAATTTCCAGAATGCATTTGACCCAAAGGTTTCAGATGATGAAATGTGACCCTAATAATTTTGAGTGTAGAGGGATACAGTGGGATGTTCCAATTACCCTTACCATTCACATATTTTTTCATACCAAACTTTTCCCAAATGTCTGTTTTTATAAAATATGCGTGGGGTATAATTCTGTTTTTATCTTTTTCAAAAAGTGTTCACACTTTTAAAGTAGCTCAAACAGAAAGCTTCAAACTACTTTTGATTGACCTGCTACTCAAACTACGAACTTCTCCCTTTTTACAAACTGAAAATAACATAAAATTGACTAGACAGTCTAAGATATTATATGGCTTGGTAATTTGGGAAATGAGGCTTCAAATTCTTTTCCTGCTAGGTCTATGGATGCTTTCCTGCTACACTGGCAGAGTTGTGTAATTATGGAAGAGACCACATGATCTCCAAAGCCTAAAATATTTTCTATCTGGCCTCCTTTCCGGCAAGTCTGCTAACCCCTGCTCACACTGTTCAGCTGAGGTTGCTACTAATATCTATGACTATCTGATAGCTATGATTTTACAAAATGAAGGTGGTTTGTCTGCATTTAGGGCTTACATTATGTATAGATAACTTTTAAAAGGCAAAGACGATAGCTGCCACAGACTGACATTCCCCCCTTTTTAAAGTTAATTAATTATTAACATCATTTCTGCACCCAATGTGGGGCTCGAACTCGTGACCCTAAGATCAAGAGTTATGTGCTCTACTGACTAAGCCAGCCAGGTGCCCCATTCCCTTTCTGTTTGAATGTGGTCTCAACTGGTCAAAATTTTAGATTCTTCGCCAGGTCCAGATGGAATGAAGTATGGTACTTGCTGATGATATAAATCTGGTCAGAGAATGAAGAAAGGAATTCATAAGGTAAAGTTATTAACCTTCCCACCTACTATAAATATTAAATTCACTGGAAGAAATCCATATACTTTACATTTATGTTGATATGAAGAATTCCAAAGAGGGTGGAAAATATGGACCTTACAAATTATTCAGAGTTTATGTGCATTACTTCTTGAAAAGATTACCCTCTTGCCATCTTTCACAAAGATTTTCCCGGCTCAACTGTGGCTCAATAAACTTTTATTTTTTGTTATTTATTTTTATTCAAAAGAATTTGTTTCCCTATCACAAAAATTAGATAACTGCACCACCAACAGCAGCAAAGTCCACAGAGTTACATTGATGGTGGAGAGTTCACTGGGTATTCCCAATGTCCCAAAAGTCGTGAAGGAGAAAAGAAAAAGAAAAGAAAAAATACTCAAAACAAATCCAAAACCCATGGTGACTTTGGGGAGAGACATCACATGAGTTTCTATCTTCTCTCATTGTCAGCTGCAGATGTATTTCAGCAGGATCAAATACAATTTAACTTGAGTAAACCCTTCATACCAACTCCAGCACCTAATTGGGGGAAAAACAATCAGTTTAATAAAATTTTTAAAAATGCAAACAGCTTAATGAATCTTTACTGTATTATAAATGAAGAACCAAATCAATAAAACTTTTCCTAACTGCTAACATGCTAAAGAATTTGAAGGGATTAGACATTGATCCCTCAAGCTTCAACCGCCTCATGAACTCTTCCACATTAGTTATGTTCACAGTTAATTAGGGAGTCTTTAAACTACATAAAACATACAGATAAATGAACTGGGTGATGAATACCATGGATATAATTGTTTTAAAATTTATGTTGGTATCTTTCCATATTCTTAAGAAAATTTTAAGTACTGCTGCTCAGGATTTTAATCTATTTCTTCCACTGATAAAGATTATAGTGATCAAGGTATACAGGACCTAAAATCTTGCCTTTTTCTAGTGCTTCATTCATTTTCTCTTCAATCATCTGATGTCAAGGTATTATGTTAGTTATTAGAGTTCAAGTCATATCTTGTCATACAAGAAAGTTGTGATACTGTTAAAAGTAAAAAATAAGAAGCAGCAGCAACAATCAGTTATAAAGACAGCTGAAGAAATGTCTAAGAAAGGACACAGGAGCTGAAGACAATTATAAGACACAGTCAAAAGGATTGTTAGAAGTAGAATGCAATTCTTTTTTTTTTTAATTTTTTAAAAAATTTATTTATTTATTTATGATAGTCACAGAGAGAGAGAGAGAGAGAGAAAGGCAGAGAAGCAGGCTCCATGCACCGGGAGCCCGACGTGGGATTTGATCCCGGGTCTCCAGGATCGCGCCCTGGGCCAAAGGCAGGCGCTAAACCGCTGCGCCACCCGGGGTTCCCGAGAATGCAATTCTAAGTAACAAAAAAAGGAGCAACGTTTCTCCTGTGCTAAGGTTTAACTTCTTAAACTTGTACCTGTGCTTCTGTGACGCTTTTTGTCTTTATTTCTGGCAAGTAGCCAATTTAACAAGAGGTCAATGCTGTTGAACAAAATCTTAGAGTTGTCACTGAGATTCTATAAATACATGAGTAGTTTTGAACTTTCTGCAGATACGTTAGCAATCTCAATTGCCTCAAAGGCCAAACTTGCTTTAGAATAAGGTGCAGCTTTTTCAATATATGCCTTGCCATGAGAATAAGATAAACAGACCACAGAGAGCCACAAAATAACAGAAATTTCAAGACCTTCTATCATCTTGCTTGAGATTCCAGAACATAACACAAATCACTTCCAAAGCCTGGATTTCATTTAAGTCCATGGCTCTCTAATGAGGCTTTTCAAATAGAGAAACTAGCTGTATGAAAAAGAGTATAAGTGTAAATTAGCCTGACCAGCTAACAGTGCAGTTCTGCTTTGAGTTTGCTCAATTCCTCTCCATAGGACAATGTGATAGGCTTGGATGTGCTCCCTTGGTTGCTGGGTCATTCTCCACTCAGGATGAGTGGAAGGAAGCCACGTCAAAATTAATGCTGAGTGGCAGAAGAAATAGATGCATATTAGCTTTAAAAGATCACTTCTTGATATTTCTATACCAGCAGAGAATATGTAGAAAGAACAGGCACCCACAGAATTAGCACTAACCAAACCCATGTACTAAAACCCTCCCCCTAACTAGTGTTTTATTTAAAAAGTTCACTGCTTAGCTCAAGATTATCTAATATGTCATGCACAAGTGCTAAATATCCAATAGTATAATCAGATAACATTATTACTTCCTTGAGCTCCTAACTACAAAGAAAAGTATTGGAAAGCTATGTATAAATTTGTGATTGAGGGCATCCCGGGTGGCTCAGCAGTTTAGCTCTGCCTTCAGCCCAGGGTGTGATTCTGGAGACCTGGAATCGAGTCCCCCATCGGGCTCCCTGCATGGAGACTGCTTCTCCCTCTGTGTCTCTGCCTCTCTCTGTGTCTCTCATGGATAAATAAATAAAATCTTAAAAAAATTGTGATTGAGACTACGTGCCAAGAGACATTAAAATTTCCAAATTACACTAATAGAATGATCATATGATCAATTTTCAGTGAAACACTAAAATACCTTTTCTTCCCTTGGCAACTGAGAAAAATATCAGGGAAGAAAAGGAAGGCAAATATGATGAAGAGATGAGTAAAATAAGACCAGATTTTTTTTTTAAGACCAGATATTCTTTTTTTTTTTTTTAAGACCAGATATTCTTAAATCTGGTGAATGTGTAAGCATCCCCTGCTCTATATTGGCCTTTATCCACTGAATACACCTACATAACGGAAGCAACAGTGCTTGCCTACAGTGAATACTGAATAGTCTTCATCTATTTTTCATTCTGACCAGCTATCAATCGATTTGACATTCATATAACCTCTAATCAGTACCATTTTTTCCCCATAATTGCAAGCTACCTATTCCTCTCCGTTTCAATCAAAGCCATTTCAACATAGACACAGACCCATGACTTGGAATGATCTCTAAGACTTAGTATAACTCTGTATTTCCATGTTATAGTTATAGTCTGTTACAGTCTAAAAACGGATCTGAGATTAAAATGAAGATGTATAACATAGCTTACCTTAATTGTACCCTGACTGTTAGCAGCAATCAGCACATTGGACTCCTAGAAAAGAATAAGAACTTTTAAAGTATAGAGAAGGATTTCCTGGAGGGCAGTCCAAGAGAATAACTTCTTCATCCTTCTTTCTTCATTTCACCCTAAGACACCAATAGAATCTAAAGTGGAGAATCAACTTTAACATGTTTTAACTGCGAATTTTAAACACCAAATCTCATATTTTGAGGATTATGTTTGAGTAAGAAAAATAAAATTATAAGCAGAGTAGGAAAATTTCAAATGTGAAGAAAAATAAAAGAAAAACAAATTACCACCGGAAGAAAAACCAAACAAACACTGAAATAAAACAAAAAATGAGTATAATGAGAAAAACAAAGCACATATTCCTCTCCACAGAAAACTCTCCATTCCTTTTCTCTTATAAAACAATTGATGTAAATGCTGTCAACACCTTTGCCATAAATCTCTATGGACAGCTATTTGGTATCAGGAAACCAGCAAAAGAAAAAAAAAGTGACTATTCATCTGATAGCAGAAGAAAAGCTATCTTTTCTTCTAATTATTCAATCACTCAGTATATGCACTTTTAATAACTTTGGTGATTACTTCAACAGAATTTATGTGGTAACATATCTATTATATCCTAAGCCTTAGGAAAAAATATTTCTCTAAAGAGTAGGAACGGTAGGAAAAAGAATGGACAAGACTGAGTTTACCAGAGAGAATCTCATTAAGAAGAGTTGGGGCATGCTTCCTATTGGAAATAGTTTAGTAGGGCTCTGGAGCTTGGAAGTGTATAGAAGTCTTTTTACTTTTTAGAGTAGGCTGCTAAAAGAAGATAAAGAGATTCAAAACTGACATAGAGGCCACATGGCTGATGAAAGACTGAGTAAACTAATATCTATGAGAAACGGATAAAGTGGTCACACCTCAAGCAAAGACAGGATCTGCCTGAATGTCCTAAAGGTTTCATGACAAAGTGAGAAAGAGAAGAAATGGATTTGCACACCAAGAAAGTTACTTTAGCCATTATGAGTTAAACTTTAGTTTCTTCAATAAAAGAAATCTGAGCTCTACAAACTTACACATTTCTATTTTTTAACTTTTCCTTTGATTCCTAGTAAAGTTACTCTTGGAAAATGTTCATCTGGTTGCTAAATAATAATAAATAATTTCTTCCACAATCCCCAAAATTTGGGGGATCAGAATATTCTTTGGATGTAGTCGGTGGTAACAGCATTAATAGTCACACTGTATGAAGTAGTAATAAAGACATGTTTTTTCTAGGGATGAGTATGGACATCACTGATGATGGGGTTTAGGACACACAGCCCCAAAATATGTCACCTTGCCAAATGTGAATATTTTAAGCTGAAGGAGTTTGAGAAAAAAGCAGAAGCAGTAAAGTCACTCTGATCTCCCACTCACTCCACCCTTCTCCCCTGAAATAGGCCATAAAATCCTCATGTGAGAGGTGCCCTGCCTACACCCAAGGTTAAGAAGCATTCTTATCTGCAAAGACAAACAGACACTAAAAAGACTGAACAAGCAGGACTTGTTGAGTTCCTCCCAATATTCAACAGTTACCTCATACTCCTTTAACGTACCCACATTTCTATACTAGCCACTCTTCACCACACCTAGCACAAAATACAAAGGTATGTTTCTTTGGATCTTCATTTCCTTCCTATGTCATGTAAAACTGCTATTAGATAAATTTGTATGGCCTTTTTCCTCTTAGTCTGTCTTGTCTAGTTTTTAGACCCCGCTGGGGACCCTAAGAGAGTTAAGGAATACATTTTCCTCCCCTACACTGATATGGTCCTGGCTGAGGTTTTCCCTTAAGCCAGCTCATTTATTTTTGAAAACAGTAACACAAGTAATATATAGTACTATTAGAATTAGTTTCAGTATTTACTTTGGGGAATAATAGGCTACTTCTAGGACCAAATAAGCACAGAATAATTCCATATGGGAGTGGGGGTAGAGTGAGGGGGCAGGAAGATAAGTTTGGTATTTATTTACTCTTTTAGCCACCTGAATTAAGAAACTGGTTGGTTGGAGTGAGGTTAGGATATCATTAGGCAATATAATATAACTCACTCTGAGCTGGTCAAAAGGCAGAATTTCTATGCCTCCCTCACAAAACAAAACAAAACAAAAGCACTGTGTCACATCATATGGATTTCTTTCTAGCACGAATTTTAAACAAGCTACGTGATATCACAAGCTAAGTGGACCAAAAATGATTCTTCTGTGAACAACTTCCAAATAGGAATAATCAACCTAATTTCTGCTTGGGGAAAGACTCCAGTCTCTAAAAAAGCAACTGCCACCCATCATATGATGCTGCAGTCACCAAGAATTGCTCTCTCTGCTACACAGAGAGGAATGCCAGGAAGATGAGAAATTTATAGCCTAAAGCACTCTTTCTCACCGCCATTTTGGTTCTAAGTCACTTTTAATACAAGAAGGTGACTAGAAGAAGGCAGAGAAAGACTCACTCTGGGGAAAGGAGGAGGGGATCTACCTCTACCAGTTACAGACATTATGAATTATGTAATTCAAACCTCTAATTCTTGGTGGAAGTTTGGAAAACCATGGCATATTATCAAACTATGAAAAATTGGGCTTAATATAAATAAGAGAATCTAATCTAGTTATATTATCACATAACAGGAGTCTGAAGTCTATATAATTACTAAGCTAAACCCAAGAAGGAAGATATCTGATAACTCCCTGAAATGAATAAACAATGTGCATAATCTCAGGACTGTTACGGTACTATATTACATGCTACCAGAGGATTAACAATAACATCTTTTTCTTGTGGAAATAAACATCTCATTTATAAATGAGCCAACACAGCTGCACAGCTGGAACTGCTTTCTGGGGACTAATATATAGGTGAAAGGGTGTCCTAAGAATTCTTAGAAATACTCAAAACAATTCAAAATTAACAAATAATGAAAGAAAAATAACAGCTTTACATCTCAGCATGCCCTTTCCTCTAAAGACCATGAACTTTTATTTTTATTTTTTTAATAAAGATTTATTAATTTATGTTAGAGAGAGACAGAGAGTGCATTTGAGAGTGGGGGGACAAGGGGAGAGGAAGAGAGAATCCTCAAGTGTACTCCCTGCTAAGCAGGGAGCCCAAAGGGGCACCTGATCCTACAATCCCTAGATCATGACCTGAGCCTAAATCAAGAGTCAGCGACTCTACTGAGCCACCCAAGTGCCCCCAAGACCATGAACTTTTAAAAAGGGATATAGGATTACCTGACTTTTAGCCAGGTATTAAATTAACTCTTGCATGCAACAGAAAAATAAAACCAGGTATTTTATTTCAGCACAGAGGTATGGAGGTGATAAGTACAAGATTATTGCTATAGGTTTTGAGTGATTCTTGTTTGCATTTTGAATACTGGCAATTCTTAGCTGTAGCTGAAGTCTGCCACAGCCCAAATGTATGTAAGTTCTGGCTCAATGGGTTGCTTTATTTGCTAAATAAAATTAAAGTGCCAGCCAGTAATTCTCATTTTTTTCTCTTTCTTAAAAACTGGCAGTTTAGACAAACAAACAAAAAAACTGGCAGTTTTGCTGCAAAACTCTCTTCGGGGCTAACCTAATAATATATCTATTTTCCTTAATATAGAGAGATTTAAAAAGATAATGGAAAAATTAGCAGTATATCTTTTATAAAAATAGAAGACACATACACAAACACCAACTTGCTTAAAGTCAGTGATACTGTACTTATACTAAAACAAAACTAGCATCCACTGGAACAGTTTTGCCACTGATGGCTTGCTTATAAAAGTGCCATTATAGCTAATACATTAAGATCCTAAGCAAGCTCACTTGATTTGCTATTGGAGCATTTACTCTTAGAAATTGACATAACTGATTTTGAATGTAAAATAATTTTACTATAGAAATGAGTATGTTTAAAAAATAACTTCCATTCCTAGTTGTAAACAAAGTAAATGGTACAGATTTGCTGTTATACTATAAGCAACTAGAAAACTTAACGAAATATATAAAACTACACTGGATAACAGGCCATATAGAATAATGATCTTTATAAGAAGAGAAACAAATGAGGGGAGTCCTATAGTCACCCTGGCTTTCTGCTTGGAGGCAATTTCTGAACCACACAGCAAGAAAGAGAATCCAAAGAGAGGAATCTAAGCAGACTATACCAGATTCACTAAGCTGAGGAGGCAGATACAAGTTCAGAGTATCTGTAGGGCAGGTGAAGTTTGTAGTGCAAAGTATCACAGAGAAGGAAGTCAGACAAAGTAGAGCTCCAGGAATCTGCATGGGAGTGCCCTTGACTGTGCATTGTTATAATAAATTACACATGAATAGTGTTAAACTACACAAGGCCTAGATTAGCCTTAAAGTAAATGTTTCTCTGGACCAGGGATCAGCAAACTATAGTTTAGCCCACTGCCCCCAAATTTAGCCCACTGCCTATATTATATGCCTATATTTCCATTAAAACTAAAACATAGCTGTGATAATTTGAATATATATACATATATATGTATATGTATATATATATATATATATATATATATATATATATATAGAGAGAGAGAGAGAGAGAGAGAGAGAGAGTCAGTCTATGGTTGCTTTTGCATTAGAGTAGAGGAACTGAGGAACTGAAATAGAGACTGTATGGCCTGCAAAGCCTAAAATATTTGCAATGTGGTTCCTTAAGAAAAAGTTTGCTGACTGCTACGTTAGAGTCATCCTAATAAAATTTAAAAACAAGTGTAAAAAAAAAAATCAAATTTATTTCCAAGACCAACTTTCTATCAAAACAAACTCTGAAGCACCTGGGTGGCTAATTCGGTTAAGCATCTACCTTAGGCTCAGATCATGATCTCAAGGTCCTGGGATGGAGCCCCACATCAGGCTCCCTGCCCAGTGGGGAGTCTGCTTCTCCCTCTGCCTCTGCTACTCTTCACCACCCGGCTTGTATTCTCTAATAAATAAATAAAAACAAAAACAAACAAACAACAAAAAAGAAAAAA